CCAACCAATGATAGAACTAAAATCTCCTTTTGGCTCTTGGTCTTGTAGCAGAATGAGGAAAATTTGTCCACTTATTCTGGTTATCCCAAACCACAGATGACCTGCCTAAAGATGACTATCTGGTCTCCTTAAAAAGATCAACACTATAAATTGTTCTTCTCAGAGACTCCATAAATATAGGGCTGTTGGCACTAATTTAAATATATTATTATTTTGATTTGTGAGTATATTCTAACTGGAAGGATCTGAGCTCCTGAAACCTTTTTGAGGGTTCATAAAAGCTCATAAAAACTCTTATATTCCTCTGCAAGGTTGATTTGGAAGTTATATTTCACACACATACACTCATGCAAGTGCATTGAGACACATCCAAAAGCAAATACCAAATTGCTAATAGTATTTATTTCCAGTGATGAGATTATGCATGTTTCTCATTTTTTTCCTCTTTGCTTATCTGCACTTTATATATATATATACATATATATATATATATATATATGTATATATATATATTTTTTTTTTTTGAGAGAAAGAGAGAGAGAGAGAGAGAGAGAGAGCAAGCAGTGGGGAGGGGCAGAGGGATAGGGAGAGAGAGAATCTTAAGCAGTCTACATGCCCAGCATGGAGCCTGACATGGGGCTCCAACTCACAACCCTGAGACCATGACCTGAGCTGAAATCAAGAGTCAGACGGTTAACTTCTGAGCCACTGAGGCACCCCTGCATTTTATAATTTTTCCATAAAATTTGATAAAATAAATTTTACCAAGAAAGTATAGGAGAAAGAAGAGACAGAATTGAAAGGACTGAATATGAAATATGTATTCAAATTTCTTTACCTAATAGGTTTCCTCTGCAATTCTCCTTGAAGTGTTACCTGAAACTCTGTGTGTCTCTGGTGACAATGCCATTTGTAGCCTCTCTCTATCTCTGGTAAGCAGGCATGGTAAGTCAATGTCCATAGTATGCCTGAAGAATTACAAAAGCCATCATCCAAAGAGAGTCATATCCTCAGTGAATGACCCCTTGAAAAGGTACAAACCTGAAGCTTGAGGATTTGGATATTACTTGGACATTGCCACTTTTTTTTTTTTTCTTTTAAAGACCAGAGAGTCCTAGAACTCTATAGCAGAGATTCAGGAAAGAGAAGATGTATTCCATCCCTGAGACAACTGAAGCTCTGAGAGGGGATGTGATTTGCCAAAGACAACCTATGTCTTCCTATAAGAGCTCATTCTGTACCTTTTCTTGGTTTCGTGCTCCATCATCATGACTCTGTATAGTCAGTTTTCTCTTTAGTTGGCTTTTAGAAGCTGTACTTTTATTGCATTATCCAGGTAAATAAGACCAAAAGAAAAAATACCTTGGAAACAAAACTGCATCTCATTTCTCTTGCCATGACTACTTTGCTTAATGACCTAAATGCACCATCACTTTGGTCAGAGTATTGATTTATCAAGGAAGAGGGTGTTATTGAAAAGGAGTGAGTCAGAATGTCCACGCAGAGAAATGTTGCTCTCAACACACTACCAGCAAGATGTTGGGGGCTGAAGGGATGGGAAATGGAGGTGGAACACAGTGAGTTAGGAAAAAATAAAACACTTTTCTATGTTTAACACACAGGAAAAAAAAAATTACCATCTCCAATCTGCTCAGTTCACCTAGATTGTCAAACAAAGGCTGATGCCAAGGGGTCTCTGACAGACCTTGTTGTTTTGAAACAAATGCCAACCACGTTCTTTACCTGTCCAGCCTGGGCTGCCAGACCTACACTGATTCTGATGAAGTCGAGTATCTTGTTTGCTATGCTGCTATACAACAAATTACCACAAACTGGGTGGCTCAAAATAACAGAAAGGTATTCATTCACAGTTTGGGAAGCTAGAAGTCCAAAATCAAGGTGTTGGCAGGGTTGGTTTTTTCTGGAGGTACCAAGGGAGAAGCTATGCCATGGCTCTCTCTCCTCGCTTTGGCCATTGTTGCCAACCCTTTGTATTCATTGGTGTATAGAAGCATCACTTCAGTTTCTGCCTCTGTCATCATGGTGTTCTCTCTATGTCTCTCTGTCACTTCTCATAAGGACACCTGCCATGTTGCATGAAGGGCCCACTCTACTCCAGTATGATTTCGTATTGATGGTTCCATTTGCAATGACTGTATTTCCAAATAAGCTCACATCCTAAAGTGCTGGAGCATAAGACTTCCCCATATCTTCTTGGAGAACACAGTTCAACCCATAACAGGGTGCTCTGGGCTCAGAACTGAGCAAAAAGCTTTCTTCCTTCACTGAGGAAAGGACAGCATCCAGTTGGAATAATCAAATGTGGCAGCTTTGACACTGATGTGTGAGCCAGTGCTACATGAGGAATGAGGAGAGGGCAATAAAGGAAACACTAGGGCATTTATGAGAAGGTAAGAATGAATCAATAGTGGTTGAGCTGTGAGTCTGAGGCAAAGCAGATGAGGTGAACAGGGGAGATGCCCCTGGCTCACAGACACTGTAATGTCTTGCAAGTCCAAGTAAGCCAATGGAATAGAGGAATTTAAGTCCACAACTGGAAACTTTGAAATGGTTGGGCACAACTTCTTCTCTAGTTGACAACTCTAGCCTATACCTCCCCGTTCACCATTCTATGTCTTTTGAGTATTTTTGCAAATACATATGAAAGCCACCAGGCTACCCTGCCATAATTCATTAGGGTAAGTGTTGCAAATGAAAAAAAAAAATCTGCAGGGGCTAGGAGATCAAAGAAATGAGTGAAGTGGGATGGGTATAAAATACTGAGAATCCATAGATTTTCAGGGTTTAGTTGGTACTGGGCTTCAGAGCTGGGGAGGATTAAGAGAATGTTAGAGATTGTATTGACCAGAGAGGATGTGTCCCATCTGCAGGAGAAGCTGCTTGGCTAGAATTGCCACGTACAATGGTGCAAGAGGGTGCTGGACATGAGGGAGGTGGGTGAAATCCAGCTGCTCTCTTCTTACCAAGCTGTGAGCCCACTGGCCCCTATCTGCCCAGTGTAGCACCTTTTTCTAATTTATGCGAAGGTGCAGTATAGGCAGAGAGCAGCCCTGATTCCAGCTTGTTGCCAGGCTACAAAGTACACTCTGTTTCCAGGTCTTTGGAATTTTTTAAAGAGAAGCTGTAATCTGCATCTTTATGTATAATCTTCTAATTTTTACGTGGTGGCTCAAATATTGTAGAACTCTGCATAGACCAGTGAATCCATGTCCGCAGGCTCTGTGGCCCCAGTGTGTGAGTCCCGTCTGGTGTGATTAGGGGAGGTGGCACAGCGCTAGTGTACAAGCTTGCAGGCAGAGGGTCACAGGTGAGGGTATGTATAATCCCTGCCTCCTAGAGGATTTCAGAATTAGTCACATTAGCACAGTGTCTCGGGGGAGAGGTGCCAGGGTTACCCTTGGCAAACCCCTGAAGGCAAACCCTTTGGAATGTCTTATGAGTACGAATTATTAGTGGATGATTGTGCATTACCATTTGTGTTACCGGAAGGCAAGTCATTTAACTTGTCTGGACATGTGTTTTTGTATCTGAGACAGCCCTCTCAGAGAGTCTTACAATGAGTAAATGAGATAAAGTCTGTGAAGTGCCTGGCACGTGGCTGTCATTCAGTATGATGGCAGCTGCTATTCCTTTTAGGACTTGGCTGTGAGTGCACACTGCTCCCCTCTTCACTAGGAAGGGCTGCCACTGCATCCTTATTCTGGTCACAACCAGATTACTTCTTTGAGAAACAATGTTTAATGTCTTACCATAATTGTTACAGCATACAACTGGGGGGATCAGAAACCTTCAGCACCACCTACTACTTACAAACAAAACAACACCACTTACTACTTACAAACGAAACATTCAATCACATGAAGGGAACTTAGAAATGATTTAAGATACTATTTCAATTTCTTCATTGGCCAGATGAGAAAACAGAGGTCCAGAGAGGGGAAGAGAGAGAGAGAGAAGAGAGAGAGAAGAGAGAGAGAGAAGAGAGAGAGAGAAGAGAGAGAAGAGAGAGAGAGAAGAGAGAGAGAGAGAGAGAGAGAGAGATATTCATCTATGGCCACACAGTGAAATATTAACACAGCATGAAATGCAGGTTTGTTTGTTTTTTTTATATTTTTGTTTTAACTTTGAGTTTGAAAGAATTTTATGCTTTTAATTGCAACTTTGAACACTGTAGATATTATTTCACACAACACTAAGTAATAAGTGTGTTCTTGACCAATTTTCCAGTCTGAACTAAAATGTGAAAATAAAAATACATTGTCCAAACAACACCCCCTGTTAGTCACCCCATCTTTGAAAGGAAGAGATTGTAATAGAAACATCTTGCATTGGGAGGCAATAAAAACTGTATTTAGCTTTTTGAAGTGTAGGTTTGGCTTTGATCTCTTTTGGGGGGAACCTGGGGAGCAACGTGCTTGTACATTCCTTATAGAGATGTGAGGATTAAATGATCATGCTTGGAACCTCATTAGCCCTCAATAAATGGTAGCTTTGATTTCCTCCTTTTAATTTCCCAATACTACACCCAATGCCCCATTCCTGGCCAGAAAACACACATGGATTCCACACTTCTCTCCCCTGCACTATGAGCATTTTGGGGCCACACCAGTGTCTTTTGTCATGTATAGATCTGGAAACCACGAACATTCTGCAGAAGTTTGTTGAATTTAACTGACTTACTGTACTGCATTCAATGGTAAGAATTTAGATTGTGCTCAGAGCACAGACTCATTCACACATTTGTTTGTGTTTATATCCCACCACATGCTACAAAGGATTTAAGACTACTTAACTGCTTTAGGTCTGTTGTGGAATACTCGATTATATTTACCTCCACGGCAACTTTTAGATGTCTCTGTTACTGTCTCTGATATTTTGTTTACATGTCAAGCTCCTGAACTATACTGTGAACTTCTAGAATCTTAGAAGGCAAGACAATGTCTTAGTGTTCTTCATATCTTTCTCAGTGCCCAGCTTTGTGTCAGCATATGGCAGGTATTTCATTAAAGATCACTGAACTAAAGAACCACGTTATGAGAAAGGAGCCTGGAGGAGAGTGATAACTGTTGGAGGCAAGTATTAGTCTACCTGATAGAAGAGGTTTCAGGAGCAGGCAGAAGGGGAGAGGCCCAGAGCAAATGTAGGGGGATTAATCTTTGATAGGGGGAAGGCTAATAATAACTGAGATCTGATTTCTGCCCCCAAATGACCATCGTCACATTCCTTTTAGTGCTATGCACATAGCCAGGCACTAAGTATTTCCCAGTGATTATCACCAAAGCAAGGCCTGGGAAAAAACATTTGTAACAGAAAGAAATATCACAGTGAACTGTGCTCCAAGAGGGCTGGAACCAGTATCTGTGTTTATGTTATAGATTAAACTGAATATGATTTTTTAAAGAGAGAATTACAATTTTCTCACACAATATTAATCTTTACTACATAACATTTTGGGAATGGAACAGGTCCAACAGAGAAGAGAAATGAGTTGCTTAAGGTCCCAAGTCACATAAATGATAACAGTAATAAATATCTTGACACTATTGAGTAGCATTTAAAAAAAATATTTCACTTTTTTCTTCATTGAAAGTTTTATTGGGGGTTAACAAAGCATGAGTTGTTACTTCCCTTCTAACATGGATTAGTCATGGATTAAATCATATGGAGTAGACCAAATTCAACAATACCATTGTTTATGCATTAAGCAGCAGCAATAATGTTGCAGGCACAAGGCTAGCCCTGGGGACACAGAGATAAATGAGGCATGATTTATGCCTCATTTCTATGAGGCTCCATCCTCATAGAAATTACATTTTTCTTATCCTAAACCCAACTAATTGAAACTTGTCTGTAGTCCAGTTTAAGGAGAAAGTAGGCAAATAGGAGGATGACATCATCTTTGAAGATTCTGCATTTTTTTTTTTTTTTTTTTTTTTTACAGCAAGTAAAGCATCTCCTGGGGCTAGTCGGCATTAAGCCCAGTCTTCCACACAGCAGCTGACATTTTCCGTTTCTGTGATGGCCTAGCGCTCCCATATAATCTTCTCAAGCTACACTGGTGGGCACATGCTCCCCTCCTCTTGGGGATCTGAAATGTGTGTATAAACAAAAAGCACAATAGAAACACCTGTGGAATTCCCCTGGGGGTCAGGTGCATGGAATGACTCAGGAGTTATCTCAGCACCCTTGTTTCTATACATTGGAAAATCTGTTTCTGATTTGGAGCCTGCACAGGAAGTGACTTGTATTGCCAGATGGAAGTTTTATGTTCTTTTTCAACTTCTCTCACAAGTCTCTCTTCCTTCTCTCTATCCTCTCGATTGCCAAGGTTCCTGCAGATGAGAATACTTCCATTAGAGAGATAGAAAGCTGCAGCATGATGCATGGCCAGCATTTTGCAGAGCAGGATGGAATAAAGGAAGGCTTTCCAGGCTGCGCATCAATGGATAAAGCCCTAGAAGTTAAAGATATACTTTCTGTACAAACCTTTGGACAAATGCACAACAAAGCTCAAGACATGGTGGAAAGATTCCAGAAAAACAACAGACTTCCTAGTACCAGTGCTGCCTGTGCAGATGGAGTATGGAATTCCTGAAGGAAACACAGACTTTCCTAGGAAAGGGGTCGATTATCACCAATTCCCTAATAATGAGACAGTGAATTATTTCAATGTGAACTATGAGCCCGGTGCCATATTAGTCTACATATTTGATTGGTATTTCCTTTAACCTGATCCAACACAACTCTTTTAGATCACTACTGTTATTATCAGCATAATAATAATAATTATTTTTATTATTATCACTATTATGAATAAACAGAGAAAGACTCAGAGAAGTAAAGGAACTGCCCAAGATTTCATGGCCAGAATTCAAACACATGTCTGTCTAACTGACTTTGATTGTAACCACTATTCTCTACTACTTCTTTGTCAGAGAGGATCAGGAAATTCATAGCACTAATGCTTTATGATCTATTCTGGGTATTTATAGTATACTGTATGTAGTTACAAGTCATACAACATGTTTTTTATTCCACAGAGTGTCTTCAGTCACTTATCAAAGGCCCCTTGTCCTCTCATAAAATGTAAGTGCAAAAAACAATGCCTGTAATACTCCTGGAGATAGAAGACAAACAAAGATTTCAGCAAATAACTGGAGACTATAAAAACTGGGACATTGTTTATTTGCAAAAGAATCAACTAGAAATGCTAGGACCAAAATATAATCAAAGGTAAGGACCCAAGTTTTGATGTAGCAGCAGTGAAAGGATGGAAAGTATGGGAGAAAGATACTTAAATAAATAGGTTTAACTGGAGTCCCAGAAGAGTAGACAAAGAAAAGACAGAGATGATCAGTTATTGCACTGATGCTGTGTTGCATTTTGCTCCCACATTTTACCTTTTCTGAAATCAGGATGTATCATATAATTGATGGCATCTTACTGTTTTTACTGAAGCTGGGCAGCAGTTATCAATTATCATTGCCTGTGCATATGTAAGTATCAAAAGTGCAAGCATAAAAACTTTCAGAAAGGGGGTCAGTGGCTTGGCGGAAAGTCCCAGAGACAATATTGGAGCACTCCTTCTACCCACTAGACAACAAATGGTTATGGGGAGGGGATGAAGGAGATTGATCAGGCATGTTTAGTGACATTTTCCAAGGAGAAGTCAGTAGTGGGCTAGTTCTGTATAATTTCAATGCCAGATTAGGAGCCCACCATTAATGCTTTTAGTTTCTTAATGGAATCTTTGAGGGAAAATTATGCACATGGAGTAGCCCAAAAGTGATTTAGAAGACTCAGATTCTTTATGGGAAAAAGTTTTAGGAATTCTTGTGGAAGTTAATTTATTTTGCTTATATTTTTCTTATTGGGTATTGCAATGGTTAGTTTTATGTGTCAACTTGGCTGGGCCACAGTGTCCAAGATACCTGGTCAAACATTATTCTGGAGGCTTCTGTGAGGGCGTTTTTAGATAAGATTTGGATAAAGGTTACCCTTTCGAGTAACACAGATTGTCCTCCATATTGTAGATGAGCTTCATTCAAAACACTGAAAGTCTGACTAGAACAGACTGAAAAGTTTGACCACCCCCAAGGAAGAAGGAATTCTCTAGCAGACTGTCTTAGGACTCAAACTATAACTCTTCTCAGAAGTCTCCAGTTTTCTGGCCCCTGCCATTATATTTGAGACTCATAAGCCTCCATAATCACACAGCCAATTCCCTAAAATAAATTTGTCTGTCTACACACACACACATCCACACTCCCCACCCTACCTCCCCCACCCAAAAACATCTTACTCTTTCTGTTTCTCTGGAGAACCCTGATTAATACAAGGATGAACAATGGAATGTAACACATATCCTTTTGTCCAATAAAAGGAATTTCTACAAATATAAGATAAACAGTTTAAATGACAAAGGTGTATGTTAGAGTTTAATTGGATGTGAGTTTGTTTTTTCTTTTCTTGTTGACATAAATTAATGGTGCAAGTTATGATTGATGGTGTCATGACGATGATGAAATACAGTAGTTAGAAATTTTTCCTTGAAAACTTCCCAGGTAAAATCCACAGGTTCAAGATGTCCAGTGATTTCCAAACAGAGAAAGGAAGAGAAAAGAAAGGGAAGGGATCCACACCCAAATATAGTAAAAGTGTAAAAAGCCAAAGATAAAGAGCAGCATCAGGATCTCCTGAGCTAAAACGGAAACCAGTGGAGTGAGGGCATTAATGAGCTGAAAGAGAACACTACTAGTCTACCCAGAATTCTAGCATTAGTCAAATGCACATCAAGAATAAAGGTGAAAGGGTGAAGGTGATCCAAAGGTACAAACTTCTAGTTATAAGATAAATTGTGGAGATATAATGTACAGTATAGTGACTATAGTTAACAATAATGTATTGTGTATTTGAAAGTCGCTAAGGGAGTAAAAAAAAGTTGAAAAAGTCTTAGAAGTTCTCATCACAAGAAAAAAAATGTGACTGTGTGGTGATGGATATCAACTAAACTTGTGGCAATCATTTCATAGTATATACATGCATCAAATCATTATGTACATACATATCCTTAAAACTATTACAGTATTGTATGTCAATTATATCTCAAATTTTTAAAAAAGAACATAGTGGGATAAGACAGCCTTAGATGAATAAAAATTCATAGATTCACAGGGGGTATTGTGTTAAGGGGGGTTTCAGGCCAAAGGAAAATAATCCCTGGTGGGAGCAAGATACAGGAGGAAAGGAAAACAACTAAAACATAAAATGATGGGAATAGATCTAAATAAACATTGTATATTATAATAACAATTTTGTTTGAGAGTTAACATATAGAACAAATTCATATATGAAATGAAAGAATGTAAGTCAGGAGGGGATAAAAGGAGCAAAAGTGTGTGATGATCTTTGTCTAGTATGGAAGGAGGTAGATTCCAAGTACCACTAGATTTTGGTAAGTCAGTGATGCATGTGTCATTTCTAGTGTGGTCACCAATAGGAAAGGAATATATGCATTCAAAGTAATGAAGAAAATTGTAATAAAAATAACCCAAAGGAAGGAGACCAAGAGGGGAAAGAGAAGCATAGAACGAGCCAGACAAATAGAAAGCAAATATTAGATTGAACCGTAAGAAATTATTGCTTGGTGGGAAAAAATGATCAAATATTGGCAATTTCAAATAAGTCAAACTATAGTAAGGTAGATTTACACAAATATCTGAGGAATAATAATAAACGTTGGTACAGACTTCATACTAGCAACATGGTTTGAGCCAGTAAAGTAATTTCTTCAGAGTTCTGGGAGGAAAGGATACTGAATATAGAATGATCAGCCAAACTAGAAAGTTTACTGTCCACACACTGTTTCCTTAAAAAAAAAAAAAAAAAAAAAAAAAAAAATTACTCAAGGCGGTACAATAGCAAAATATAAAAAAATCCAAAAATATCCAGCTAAATAAAAATACATGGAATATAATAAATAGTGGTGGCTAGATATGAATCAAGAAGCAAAGGAAGAGGTAGAAAGAAATTAAAAGAAGCTGCTGGGAAGATTCTCTGTCAAAGGGCAAAGTCTTCCTGTAGACTATTGTTTCTCAACGGGGGACTACTTTGCTCCCTGGGAAAATCTGGCAATGTCTGGGAACATTTTTGGCTTCCACAACTGGAGTGGGGATTGCTACTGGCATCTAGTGAGTACAGGCCAGAAACGCTGCTCACCATCCTGTAATGAACAGGACAAAGAACAATCTGGCTTCAAATGTCAATTGTGCTTCAAATAGAATAGTGTAAACTCTGATATAGAGTATTACATTTCCTTCACCTTAGATCAAGTCATACTATTTAGTTCTCTATAAATGGTATCTACATAACTATAGTAATAATATTGGGAGTCCTTAGTAGGATTATGCAAAAGAACAGAACATATTCTATAACAATTATATAATTTAATATAATAAAATAATATATAATAAAACATACAATGAAGAAAAATTAATGGTGGAGGAAGGAAAGATGGAAGGGATGTGCACATTACAAATTGTCTGGGGATCTTGTTAAAATACAGATTTTGATTCAGGAGATCTGGGGTGAGGCTTGAGATTTTGCATTTTTAACAAGATCCCAGGATTTTTTTCTTCATGAAAATATTTAATATTTTCTTTTTATCTTTTATGTTTTGAGGTTTCACCAGCAAAGACTCTACAAGAAGAACTTATTGATCATTTACCTTATGTTTACTATTATTATTTTGATATAAAAATATTTCCAATCAATAGTCAATGTAATTGATTGACTAGTTGTCATCAAATGTGTACCATTGGAGCCCCTTTTGTCAGACTGAAATTACTGGCAAGTAAGCAATAACAGTTAAACAAGCTTCACTTTAGATTCTTCCTTAAGGTTGTCTCCTTTTCTCTTTCAAAGAGGAGTGAGAGCTTTTGGATTGCTTTGTATTTTGATGTTATATTTATCTCCCCTGCAGTCTGAATTCCTTGAAGGCTAGAGTTTTATTCATATGTGATGCTGATGTAAGACATTCATTTGTGTACTAATTTCATAACAATTAGCGATCGCTTGTGGGATGCCACATTCTGTTAAGGGCTGGAAACAAAATGGTAAATAAGCCATACAGTCTGGTTCAAGTATTTCTGGGAAAGTTCTTGCTTTCTTGAGAAAAAGAGAGATGCATCTGGGGAAAACCTGGCACTTTCCTTTTCTTCTTGCCTTGAACATAGGTAATGACAAGAAAGACCTAGAGGATTGCGGAGAATATTCCTGAGAATTGCCGAACTGCTGAATAAACATTAGCAAGTAGTTATCTCTAGATTTCTAGTTAGGTGAGAAAGTAAATCCTCACTTCTTAAACTATAATAGTTGGGTATTCTTTTCCTTGCAGCTAAAGACATTTTTGACTGACATAACATATGCAAATAATCAGTAACTGGATGTTTCACAATGGTGTTATCAAGTACTTGTAATAATGGTTAATGATACCACACAATAGATTTTACATTACATATAAGTGGTAAAATGGGAGGAAATGATATATTTTTATTGCTTCCAGGAACAGAACTAGAACTGATGGACCAAAGTTTCAATGGGCCAAATTCAATGCAACATAAATTAGAACTTTCTAACAAAGTATTCCATTTATGGAGTGTACTATCTTACCAAGAGATTAACTTCCTATTAAATTGTTCAGGAAGAGGCCAAAACACCATAGCTGGGATTCCAGCACTGTATGGAAGCCTAGAGGAGAAAGTCCTAACATTCTTTCTTACTCTAAGTTGTAATATCAATTTTCAACAATGAGTGTCAAAATAAACAAAAATCTTTAAATCAAAAACTTCTTTGAAATTGTGAAATCCCAAATTCAAATAACCAGAGCACTCCAGTTCCTTAATTCTGATTGGGCTTATACCAGGCAGTTAGAGAAAATGGTAGTTTCATCTAATTCCTACTCAAAAAAATAAAACATTTCACTTACATATAAAAATTGTGATTTTATTTTCTTTATGAGTCAGTAGACCTAGGACAATGGAACTATAGTATAAAACCTAGACTTTCAAACAAATTGAAGTGGTAAATTTATACAGGATTAATAAAAGATGTGTATTAGATGTGCAGAATGATTTTTAATTCAGCAAAAGAAAATAATACTTTTAGCTAAAAATACCCTGTAAACAATTACAGTTATAATTCTAGGTGATTATTTAATAATCTTGACATTCTAGAGGAGTCTAATATGTTAAAAAGTAATTTTTTAAAATTTCAACAGAAGTTATTATTAAAAATAATCTCAGTGTTTAGGACTAAAATGAAAGCCTTGCCAAGAATGGCATAGCCACATATCCCTCTGCCCACACAGAGGGGAAAAAATGGCATACACTTCTCAGGTTATATGACTCACTCAATACCTGAGAGATATAGAACATATGACCCAGGCCACTCTGCAGAAGTCAGAACATATTTTAAAAGATAATTGTAAGAAATAAATCATTTTTGTATTGCTGGTTTAAAAAATTGCTGTGCCATTTATACAGCATTGGAATTGCGTTCCTTAAATTAAACAGTCTGCATCCCTCTGGGAAATGCCAAACATGAACCATAATAGAGCCTCCTGTTGGATTTCTTGAGCACAGGAAAACGCAGGATCAGGTACTATGTTAGGTAGAGGGTGAACAAAAGTGACAGGATTTTGAATTTCGTAGAGCTTGGGGTGTCGTTGCCTTGAACATCACGTGCCTAAAATGAAACATTGATTTATTCTTTTTAAGTGAAATAATTTCTTTCCTGATTGTCATACTCTAAATAGAAACAGCTCATTCCCAAGAAATGCAGGCTTACTTAGAGATAAGTCAATGGGTTCTGCCCAATGTTGATGGCTATATAAACCTATTAGACCATAGCTCCGATTATAGATAAGTGAAATAAACCTAAATGACATTTCTGAACCTTATGTCAGTTAATTTTATAACAGCAAACCTAAGGTTTCAAAGTCTGCTTCATGAATATTTACAATGGATATTTTTCTACCCCGCTTTTTGTTTTCATTTAAGTATAGGTAGTTTCATGTTTGCATCAATGACTTCTTCTAATTTACTTTGA